ACACATAAGAACTGTACACATCTATACACATCTGTGTCATGAGATAAAAAGGCCAAGTTCTTCCAACACCCAGAAAGCTTGGGGATAGTTTAACTGCACTTCTTGGTGACTTACAAATAGGTAACCATTGTCTCCGGAGCCCTGCCTCGTGTAATCCTACCAGGAACTCCCAAAGTAGCGCCAGGGAGGCTCCCCTTGCCATTATGCACACTTCATGAAGCCTAGATTCTCTGTTGTCTGCCAGTTATTCTGATTCTCTTTATCTTTGATTGTGGCTTCCACTCTGTGCCCTTTGCATGCTCTTCCTTCACACTAGTGTTAGGAATGGCACCTAAAACAAAAAACTACTAATGCTACTGAGTTCTGTTTCCAGCCTCTTCTACCTTCTCCACAAGCATCCACAGAGGAGGGCTCTAGTGTTCCTTCTGCCTGGATCTGATAAAGGCAGTGGGAGTATGTCAGGAAGAGGAAAAACCCCATTCAGTGTCAGCTGCCTGACACTTCTCCAAACTAACACTTTGATTCATCTTTAAGCCAATTTAATGTAACACAACTCTGGGTAAAAGAAAAGCTTTACACTTTATACAACCTTAGCTCTGCAGGTTTTAGGGTGTAAATAATACTGAAGATCATAGCGGCTTCATTTTAATTACCATGCACTATTATAGAAATTTGTATTAAAAGACTTACTTCCTTTTTCATTTTTATCGCACCAATCTAAAGGAGGTTAACATGCTAACAGTTTGCAGGCTCTATGGTGGTTGGCCCACAGTCAGATGGTATCAGTATCTCTTATATATAATATAAAGCGCTAAGGAAAATGCCCCTTTATTTTTCAGTTTGTGCGTGAAAATATTGTTCAGATGCCAGAAGAGGATTACAAAGCATGGCTTCAGACTCGAGTCAGAATCCCCAGAAGAGCTCATAGTGCTCCACCCTTGTGCTGAAAGGTCAGAGGAGCTGGTTTCCTGGCCACAAGAGGGAAGTCTTGGTGCTTCAGACAGAGATCTGGTTCCTGGTGAGATCTGCCTGAAGGAGGGCTGGGGAAAAAAACTTTGGAAACCGCTCCAATTGTGTATGCTTGGTAGCTATTGAAATGTGTAACTCCACAATGCTCATCTTAACACCAGCCCATATTTACCCAGTGACCACCAAAAAAGAGAAACCAAATATTGCAGTTCCTTTCCAGGTAGCCTTATGGACCTGCAGCAAGAGCTCACTCTCAGGTTTTCATGTAGAATTAAGACAAGTTGTAAACTACAATATCATACACGTGCTTCAAAAACACTCCTCAAATAGCAATGGAGAACTGAGAATCACCAACACCTTTTCATTGGCTCACCCTTTTCCATTATAGAACCTTCTGCTTTAGATTATTAGATAGAGAAAACCGATCTTAGTTGTTACAGTCTGTTCTGCACTCCAGTTTTGCTATCTTGCCCTTGCTTTAAAAAACAAAATCCCCAGCACTGGAACATTTTAAGCTTTGAGCCAAATCCTTTCTGTGTTAGTTTTTGTATCTTAGTTAAAATGTTTGCGTTTGTTCTCTACAATTTTTTTCGGAATAGCCACGTTGCATTGGTTTTGCTTTATTAAAATCACTATTCAAGTGTTCTGTATTCTGGGGTGCTTTTCTGTAACTGTTCATTTTCCAGTTGTGGCTGCCAAAAGCGGACAGATGTCTTTTCACCTGCTCTTCTGAGCGCTCAGTCATCATCAGACCGCTGTTCGCTAAGAGGGTAGAATGACTCCTCCTTAGCAGGAGAGGGGACTAAAGAGAATATTACTGAGTTACCCCTCCAGGGAAACGTATCATTTCACCCCCACAGTTTGACTCATCAGTGCCATCCCTGGGCACAGGAGTGCGACGACAGCACAAGGTGTTAGTTCTCTGTAATTCCTAGACACTACAGCTCTTCCCATTAATAGTAAATCTGGCGTTTCGGTGACTAAGCCTGAAATAAGAAAAAAGCCACTGGGCTTGGGATTTCCAGGCCTTGTCAAAGCTTCCGGCAGAACATCTGGTTATGCAGAACCCTAGAGTTCAGTTCATCTTCCAGCCACAAGACGAAGGAAAACAAGACTAAAATCAGGATCCAGGTCAGTACAATGATCATTGAATGTCAGTAATGCTTTGTTAGTGAACATGTGATAGGATATTCCTGGCTATTTTACTCTCCTTAGAATCTGTAAATATGGCTTGTGTTACTGTGGTATCTCTTCCATTTGTATGCCAGTCATACTTCATTACTTGGTTTGCTGTGACATCGTGTGGTGATAGCTGACATTACATCAGGGCCGGCTCCAGGCACCAGCCTGGCAAGCAGGTGCTTGGGGCGGCCACTCTGGAGAGGGGCGGCATGTGCGGCAATTCGGCTGACCGTCCCTCACTCCCGCTCGGAGCGAAGGACCTCCCGCCGAATTGCCGCTGCAGATCGCAATCGCGGGTTTTTTTTGGCTGCTTAGGGCGGCCAAAACCCTGGAGCCGGCCCTGTATTACATTCAACCTAACCCAAACGTAGGACTGGAGGGGAACTTCTGGGTTATCAAGTCCAGTCCCCTGCTGTTGCAGGCAACCCTGGCTCATAATTAAGGCTACAATTTTGTCACAGAGCTCATGGAAGTCACAGAATCTGTGACTTCCAAAGACCTCTGTGACTTCAGCCCCGGCGGCTGGGAGCTGCAGGGTCCCCCCGGTGCCTACTACAGCACCAGGGAGCTGTGAGGTACCCCCACCGCCTGAGGCAGCAGGCCCCCAAGCTCCCTGCTGCCATGGGCAGCGGGGGTACCCCACAGCTCCTGGCCTCTGTGGGGGACAGGGGGACCCCGGCTGCTCCCCGCCATGGAGCTCTGAGTCCCCAATGGTGGGGGGATGGGGGGAACAGAGCTCCCAGCCACCCAGCTGCTGCCCAGTCCCTTCCCATTTTATCATGAATATTTTTAGTAAAAGTCAGGGACAGGTCGCGGGCAATAAAGAAAAAATCACAGAAGCCTGTGACCTGTCCCTGACTTTTACTAAAAATATCCATGACAAAATTTTAGCCTTATTCATAATCCCAGTCAGAAATGGATTGAGCTCCATCTGAAAACTACCTGTGTTGCTTGCCTCCCCCCACTACTCCTATTGGCAGGCTCTCATAATTCATCATTTAAGTCATCATTTAACTGCCAGTGATCTCATAGCTAAGCTGTTGTTACACTGGCTGGCACCTACTGTTGTATCAGTCTTTATTCTTAGCTGGTGAATACAGTTCAGAATTGGGGATGTCCTCGTGAGCAAAGTACCAGGTTCCGGCTCTTCCCTGACAAATCAGAAATGGAAACTCAAAGGGCCAGATGCTCAGGTGCAAATCGGTGAATCTCCATGGAAATCAATGGAACCACGTAGAGTTACACCTGCTGAGAAGCTGACCTAAAGAATCTACCCACTTCTCAGATGAGTTTCTTCTACCTAGTGTGATTTGCTAATGTCTCTACAGTGCTTTGACTGTATAAAGCACTATTTCAGCATTGAATATTACACGTCTTTAATGAAACGTTTGTGGAGGAAACAAGGGCCCTTTTTAAGTACGATTCTGCTTGGCAATGGCTCCTCTATCTCTCTGTCTCTCCTTCTGTCAAGGGCTGCCCCAGCGAGAACTGGAGCTCCCCTCTCTTCCTTCTGTCTAGGCAGGGCTGCCCGGAGGGGAGGGCAAGTGGGGCAATTTGCCCCAGGCCCCGGGCCCCACAGGGGCCCCCACGAGAATATAGTATTCTATAGTATTGCAACTTTTTTTTATGGAAGGGGCCCCCGAAATTGCTTTGCCCCAGGCCCCCTGAATCCTCTGGGCAGCCCTGTGTCCAGGGGATGGCACCCACAAGTAGGATCTGCAACTTCTCTCCCTCTCATCCAGGGAACTTCCCTGGGTAGGAACAGCAGCTTTTCTCTTCCTCACTGCTGACAGCTTCCCTCTCTATTAATTGATGGAGATCCTCACCCCCGCTCCAGCCCCTTTATGTCAGGTAAAAGGGCTGGGATGACATGAAGGGAGACCCTAAAATCTTCGGAGCCAGCTGGGGGACAATTCCTCTGGCGCAGGAACAGAGGAAGACAGCCGTAAGACTGCCTACTAAGGATCCCCTCACAACCACTGGCATAGGGGGCATACTGTGCACAGGGGCAGATGGGTGTGTTGAGGTGGGCAACAACATGCAGTACTGTGGAGACTCTGGACAGTGCTCCAGCCCACAGGGCAGACGGGGGAAACCCGTGTAACAACATTGCGTCAATTACGCTGGTAGCTACAGAGCAGTGTAGGATCGGGAGGGTGGTAAGGACGGCTTAGGAACACTTTTTTCACCCTCCCTCTGGGCCGTGAATTCTGTGCTGCACAGCTGAGAGGCACAGCACAGAATCTCAAACACTGCTAGATTTAGGGATGAATTATGTCAAATATCTGCCTATCATCGATTTTATTAAGTGCCCATCACCAGGGTGCCTAACCATGTTCATGCAGATGAGCAGCTGAGAGCAGTCCCTCCGTGCAGACCTAGCTAGCATCTGTGGTGCACTCACTCACATTTGGTGAGCTCGGACATTTTAATGTTGGGACATAACTCCATTTTATCATTTTAATTGAAGAGAGCAGCGCTTGATCAATAAACAGAGGCTTTTATCTTAATCATTGATCCCTGATTCATAAATATGCAGCCTTTTAGCCGGTCAATAACATGGCTTATGCTTTTTCAATGTATGGTTAAAAAAGGGGGGTAGTCAAAAAACAATACCCTGTCCATACTGGGATATGGAAACTGTGTTACAGCCACACCAGCAACAACCGTGTTTGCAAAGTGCCAGAACCGTGTGATGACTGCTTTTACATTCATTTGTTGCTAGCATAGTTCAAGCTGCTGTGTGGGCAGAATATATCTCTGCTAGCTTGATCCATTCCAGCTTTGCCTAGTCATTGTGGCTGTGTCTACACTACAGACTTTATAGCTGTAATTGACTACGGCTGGTAGTAATAGTGGGAGCTACAATGTAGACAGAGCCTTTAAGTACAATTCAAACACCTGAACTTGTCCGCATTTCTCCCTTAAGTAAATGTTATTGCTCAAAAAATAGTCAGTGTTTTTCATTGAATGTAATTATACTGAAGAAACCGTTTTTGTTTCTTCCTTAGTGCTTTATAAAGTTTATTGCCTTTTCTGTGTAATCCTGATGTGTCAAAAAAGCCACAAGCTATACTAGCTCCCTGTTTAAATAAGCCTCAAATACCTGTTGTAACCTAGAGCCTCGGGCGTGGTGATTTATCCCAGTTCTTGAGAAGATAAATAATATTTCTAGCAGGTTGCAGTGACTTCGGGGGCTGATGAAGCACACTTGATCCAGACCTGGATGATAAGAGATGAGGTTGGGATGACACTTGTGTGCTATGCATTGCTAAGTTGTGGTGAAGCTCTTAAAATGTTTTGAGGGAAATGAACATGAGTGACAATAATCCCCTCTGATATGCTTTACGAGAATATTTTTTAAAATACATTTTTGCAGTTTGTACAAAGTTTGTGCAACGTTTCCAAATGTTAGAGCAGATTTAGTCTGGCTGATAACTGGGAGGGATAGATTTTCTTAAGATGAGGACTTTGCTGCAAGAAAAAAAAAGGGGGATCAGCTAGAAGAATCAGTTTTTCAACATTCAGTTCTTAGTCGTATTGATTATCTATCTATGGCATTTTTATGCCGCTCATTACGATAGCGTCTGAACACCTCTCAATCTTTAAGGCATTTATCCTCACGGCACCCCAGTGAGGTAGGATGGTATTACCCCCATTTTATAGCTGGGGAATCGAGGCACAGAGAGGCTAAGCAACTTGTCCAAGGTCACACGGGAAGTCTGGCAGAGCAGGGACCTTCCAGCTCTCCCAGGTCCTAAGCACTGAATGTCCTTACTCTCTGTTTGGGGATTATGTTTTGGGATTAATGAGCACTTTACAATCTCAGCTAGTGGGGCAGTCGCTTTTAAATTCAATTAATAAGAACATAAGAACGGCCGTACCGAGTCAGACCAAAGGTCCATCTAGCCCAGTATCCTGTCTACCGACAGTGGCCAATGCCAGGTGCCCCAGAGGGAGTGAACCTAACAGGCAATGATCAAGTGATCTCTCTCCTGCCATCCATCTCCATCCTCTGACAAACAGAGGCTAGGGACACCATTCCTTACCCATCTGGCTAATAGCCATTAATGGACTTAACCACCATGAATTTATCTAGTTCTCTTTTAAACGCTGTTATAGTCCTAGCCTTCACAACCTCCTCAGGTAAGGAATTCCACAAGTTGACTGTGCGCTGCGTGAAGAAGAACTTCCTTTTATTTGTTTTAAACCTGCTGCCTATTAATTTCATTTGGTGACCCCTAGTTCTTGTATTATGGGAATAAGTAAATAACTTTTCCGTATCCACTTTCTCCACATCACTCATGATTTTATATACCTCTATCATATCCCCCCTTAGTCTCCTCTTTTCCAAGCTGAAGAGTCCTAGCCTCTTTAATCTCTCCTCATATGGGACCCGTTCCAAACCCCTAATCATTTTAGTTGCCCTTTTCTGAACCTTTTCTAGTGCCAGTATATCTTTTTTGAGATGAGGAGACCACATCTGTATGCAGTATTTGAGATGTGGGTGTACCATCGATTTATATAAGGGTAATAATATATTCTCAGTCTTATTCTCTATCCCCTTTTTAATGATTCCTAACATCCTGTTTGCTTTTTTGACCACCTCTGCACACTGCGTGGACATCTTCAGAGAACTATCAACGATGACTCCAAGATCTTCTTCCTGACTTGTTGTAGCTAAATTAGCCCCCATCATACTGTATGTATAGTTGGGGTTATTTTTTCCAATGTGCATTACTTTACATTTATCCACATTAAATTTCATTTGCCATTTTGTTGCCCAATCACTTAGTTTTGTGAGATCTTTTTGAAGTTCATCACAGTCTGCTTTAGTCTTAACTATCTTGAGCAGTTTAGTATCCTCTGCAAACTTTGCCACCTCACTGTTTACCCCTTTCTCCAGATCATTTATGAATAAGTTGAATAGGATTGGTCCGAGGACTGACCCTTGGGGAACACCACTAGTTACCCCTCTCCATTCTGAGAATTTACCATTAATTCCTACCCTTTGTTCCCTGTCTTTTAACCAGTTCTCAATCCATGAAAGGACCTTCCCTTTTATCCCACAACAGCTTAATTTACGTAAGAGCCTTTGGTGAGGGACCTTGTCAAAGGCTTTCTGGAAATCTAAGTACACTATGTCCACTGGATCCCCCTTGTCCACATGTTTGTTGACCCCTTCAAAGAACTCTAATAGATTAGTAAGACACGATTTCCCTTTACAGAAACCATGTTGACTATTGCTCAACAGTTTATGTTTTTCTATGTGTCTGACAATTTTATTCTTAACTATTGTTTCGACTAATATGCCCGGTACCGACGTTAGACTTACTGGTCTGTAATTGCCGGGATCACCTCTAGAGCCCTTTTTAAATATTGCCGTTACATTAGCTAACTTCCAGTCATTGGGTACAGAAGCCGATTTAAAGGACAGGTTACAAACCTTAGTTAATAGTTCCGCAACTTCACATTTGAGTTCTTTCAGAACTCTTGGGTGAATGCCATCTGGTCCCGGTGACTTGTTAATGTTAAGTTTATCAATTAATTCCAAAACCTCCTCTAGTGACACCTCAATCTGTGACAGTTCCTCAGATTTGTCACCTACAAAAGCCGGCTCAGGTTTGGGAATCTCCCTAACATCCTCAGCCGTGAAGACTGAAGCAAAGAATCCATTTAGTTTCTCCGCAATGACTTTATCGTCTTTAAGCGCTCCTTTTGTATCTCGATCATCAAGGGGCCCCACTGGTTGTTTAGCAGGCGTCCTGCTTCTGATATACTTAAAAAAACATTTTGTTATTACCTTTGGAGTTTTTGGCTAGCCGTTCTTAAAACTCCTCTTTGGCTTTTTTTATTACATTCTTGCACTTAATTTGGCAGCGTTTATGCTCCTTTCTATTTGTCTCACTAGGATTTGACTTCCACTTTTTAAAGGAAGTCTTTTTATCTCTCACAGCTTCTTTTACATGGTTGTTAAGCCACGGTGGCTCTTTTTTAGTTCTTTTACGATGTTTCTTAATTTGGGGTATACATTGAAGTTGGGCCTCTATTATGGTGTCTTTAAAAAGCGCCCATGCAGCTTGCAGGGATTTCACTTTAGTCACTGTACCTTTTAACTTCTGTTTAACTAACCCCCTCATTTTTGCATAGTTCCCCCTTTTGAAATTAAATGCCACAGTGTTGGGCTGTTGAGATGTTCTTCCCACCACAGGGATGTTCAATACTATTGTATTATGGTCACTATTTCCAAGCGGTCCTGTTATAGTTACCTCTTGGACCAGCTCCTGCGCTCCACTCAGGACTAAATCTAGAGTTGCCTCTCCCCTTGTGGGTTCCCGTACCAGCTGCTCCATGAAGCAGTCATTTAAAGTATCGAGAAATTTTATCTCTGCATTTCGTCCTGAAGTGAAATGTTCCCAGTCAATATGGGAATAATTGAAATCCCCTACTATTATTGAGTTCTTAATTTTGATAGCTTCTCTAATTTCTAATTAATACTGCTTTGTTAGCTAAAAGGAAGAGCGCAAACTCAGTGTGACTGCCTATTGCATATAGAGGAAAGATGATCTTGTAAGACACTGGAATAGCGAACAGAAAAATGGGGTTCTACTCCCGGTTGTTATGGACTTCCAGTGTGACCTGAATCACTCCGTGCCTCAGTTTCCTCATCTGTAAAACTGAGAACATTTTGCTGACTCATAAGTTGAGGCTAAATTAGTTCATGCTTATGAGTTGCTCAAATATTAAGCTAGTGAGTACCATAGAAAATCTAATAAATTGATATAATAAATAATATCCAACTCCATCGCCCAGCCTTACCTTCTGCTTGTTAGCAATTTTGAAATAAACATCTCCATTCTGTTCTTGTAGGAAGTATTTGACTATACCAGAAAGGACACTAACCATTCTATTGTATCAATAACAATACTCCTCCTGTGTTTTATTTTAGACATAAAAAACAGCAGCTTATAAATACAGATTGCAAAATAAACACCTGTATCCTTCTTGAATATATGGTATTTTATGGTAAATAAATGTCACTATTATTCTCAGGTACTCTGAAATAGGGGCATATCTTTTTAATTGGAATTTCAGCAGTATGCATCACCACTGTATTCTGCTGTATTGTAAAATAGCGGCACTGTTCTGGCATCTTAAAGCGATGTTGCTATATTTGGCTTTCAACATAAATAACAGCAATTCTTTTTTGCGAACACTCGTTAATAAATATCACAGCTCTAGCACTCCAGAAGATAAAACCACAGGGCAACAAACTCCAGGGCATTTGAGACCTGATCCAACTCCTGTTAAAGTTAATGGAAAGACCCCCAGTAACTATATGCATGTTGGATCAGGCCTTCCGTCATTGTGAGATCAAAAGAGGTGTAAAAAGACCAAAGGCCAAGCTGATCGTCTCTCCAGCAAATCAACTCTATCTCCGATTCAGTGCAACAACAGAGGAATCGATAAAGCCACGCTCATAGCTAGGTAACAAGCGTACAGAAAGAAAGCTGAAAAATAAACTTGCCCAGCAGTTAATTGAGCCAACCAACAAAAGAAACTGAACAACACAGAGAAAAGAAAAGGCAGAGGAGAGAAGAGACTTAATTAATAAGGATGCAGCTTGTTAGAGTTCTCAGCTGCCAAGTCTTACCTCATTAGAGACAGGAAGCTATCTTCTCATGGCCCTAAAAGCAACCTACAAGAGAAAGCCAGCAGTTCAGAATGAAAGGAAAGTGACATTAGGGTTGTAGTTACACTCAGGTTTTTAGGTCATCTTAGTCTAGTTCCTGCAGTATTCTCTTTGAGGTGTTTGATGGCAAAATCTGATGTCATTTTAGCTGAGTTACTTTTTTCTTTTGGGAGGAATGAAAGTAGACTCCTTTTGCATTTTGTGCTTGTGACAGCATGGGAGGTCCCTCAGTGAGTGATTTCTCTGTATTTCTGAGTAACGACTTCTCCCTTATTTGACAGAGTTTGCCAGTGGGTCTTCCCTCTCCTTCAAGTGACTGAACTGTCCTTCCCTGGCTCATGTGATTTAGCTCCACCTACTCGACCATCTGACCACCACTCGCGGAGGCAAACGGCAGGACTGGGAGGCTCCACCTTGGCAGAGGAAGGTTTCTGTAGCAGCTAGAACAGGGGTAGGCAACCTTTCAGGAGTGGTGTGCCGAGTCTTCATTTATTCACTCTGATTTAAGGTTTCGCATGCCAGTCATACCTTTTAACGTTTTTAGAAGGTCTCTTCCTATAAGTCTATAATATATAACTAAACTATTGTTGTATGTAAAGTAAATAAGGGTTTTAAAATGTTTAAGAAGCTTAATTTAAAATTAAATTAAAATGCAGAGCCCCCCAGATCAGTGGCCAGGACCCGGGCAGTGTGAGTGCCACTGAAAATCAGCTCGCGTGCCGCCTTCGGCACACGTGCCATAGGTTGCCTACCCCTGAGCTAGAACATTGAAAACAATCTTCTGAGCAGAGGGTTGAGGGTGGGGTTATGGTTGTTGGAGCTAGAGCTGGGTGGAGAGAGGAGGCCTGGTGCCTGTATAATGTGGATGCCTCCAAGTTTGTGTTCCTCTGCAGCAGGGCGGCTGTCTAGCCGGAGAGCAGAGTGCAAGAGGAGGCTGTAACCAGTGGTGCCAGTAGAAATCATTTCTTGCCGGTACGCTGCACTCATGAGAGGGACACAAAGGGGTGGGGGAGGTGACCTCCCCACATGGTCCCCATGTGACTCCTCCCTGCCCCACTTCCAGCCCGGGGGGAGAGCAGGGCTCTACAGAACCGCAGCAGTGAAAGGAGCAGAACATGGGGTCGCCGGGCATCCCCATACCAGCAGCTCCTCCGGCGCAGCTGTACCGCCCCCAGCCCTTCCAGCCTTGTCTTCCGGCGGGGCTGCTGTACAGCTCCCAGGCAGGACTTAGGAGACGCAGCTGCATGGAAGGGCTGGGGATGGGCTCCTCCTGTGTCTTTCCGGTACACCATACTGGCTATAAATATCTTACTGGTACGGCGTACCAGACCGTACCGCTGTACTTGCCCCACTGGCTGTAACCACCCCCTCTGTGGAGCGCAGCACTGTCTGCAAAGCTAATGGGGTCATCTTACAGGATGGCTGACACAATGGGGATTGAACCAGGGCCCTCTAGAGCTGCCTACAGGAGCTGCTGCATCTTGATTGAAAGACCCAAGCCTCCCTCGCTGGGGCTGTAACAGACTCCTGTCCTGTGTGGATGGGGGACCTGTGCCACACTCCCCAGCAGGTTTCACTCGCACTCAGACTGCCACGTCAGACATCCTTTTCTTCCACCCACAAGGCAGCCTCTGGGGCATCTACACTTTGGCTCAAACTTCGACTACTCTGGGGCCCAGACTTGCTGCTGTAAAGGTCAACGATAAAACTCCCTTTGACTTTAGTGGGAGGCTCATTAGCATTGCCACCTGTCCAGGTATTTCCCCTGATCCTCCCCCTTCGGAGATAGCTGTCCCGGGAAATCTGTAAGTAGGCTTGCCTGGAAACAAATGGTTACATATCAAATAAAACCATAACACACATTCTACAGCCTAGACTTAATTAACCAGATACTCTTATGTCTAATAAACGGCTGCTCATCCAATATCCCTGCAGCACTTCACCCCCAGGCTGGCTGTGACCTTCCTTTCATGAGGTAAGCATGCTGTCAGTTTGCCTCCTAGGTGAAGTATTCAGTGTCTCTCTTTGTACTCCAAGGTACACTGGACCAATCCTTTATTTTATTCATAAACAGGACATGCCCCTGCTGTTTGCCTCTTCCTTTGGATTTCCTCTCTTCTCAATTTCACAATCTCTGAATTTGCACCTGGCTCAGTATGCCGACAGGCACACAATGCCCAATATACCAATGGCCAGACAGGGAGCTAGGTGTCAGCTACCTCCCACCTGAAAGGAACATCTCCCAGGTATGTCACTTCCTGGTGACCGCCTTAATGCCAAGACCTAAAGAGCATAATTTTTAGTTTAGATACCTAACTCCTTAAATATTTCCCATACATACATTTTGCAATATTTATGATGACCAATGGGAACTGGCTTTTGGTAGAGACCTCACGGGCCACCCTCGGGTGAACTATTATGCAACTATTTTTCAGGAACTGCCTAAAAACGGGAGAAAACTTAACTTTTCAATTGCTTAGTACATTTTGAAATCTTTCAAATATACTAAAGCAATTCTTATCCTACTTCCAAACCCAGATGAAAAAACATACTAAACTATTTATAGGTATCCAAAATAACAGCCCACTTTAAACAGTGTAGCATAGTGAAATGTGGCTCTTTGGTTTGATAATTCCAGCAGGGGTGTGTGATGAGGTTAATGTCCCAGGTTATGGCTTCACTTGGAGTTTCACACAAATTATCACAACAGGGTCCTGACCCCCCACTTTTTGTGAAAGCCCAAAATCTTCCCCTACCATGGAGACCCTAGTTTGAAAGGTCAGTAGATGCTGTGCCAGAATAGGTGTTAGTGACTTAAAGAAGACCCACCTCCCAAGCAGGTGAACACACTGGCTCAGTTCACACTGCGGGGAGTGGTCTACTTGTGTGCACACACACACACGCGTGCACACACACACCAAGAATCAACTGAAAAGGAGAGAAAAAGGGGGAAAGAATTCTCCTCTGAGCTCTGGATCCCCTTGCTTACTGTGAGGACGAGGCCGCCTTTGCACAGCTCACGCTAGTCTTTGCCTCAGGACTGAGCAGAAAAGCCTCTGTAGAACCAGCTGAAGTTAGCTGGCAGGACTCACTGCCTTTTCCCTGGACTCAGGAACTGTCCCAGGCTGGTGCTAGTTATGGCTCCCTGCATGCCTGGCAGCAGGATTGGGCCTAAATCCTGCACTGACAACTTGAGTTAACTGAGGGCTAAGTAGGTAAAAAAAAATGACCTGTTCCTGTGGTGAAGTTATTTGGTTTTGTTTTTTGTGATTTACAGGCGCTTTACTTTAGCACAGTCTATTGTAAATTACACCCAACTATAGGTGATAGATTTAGTTATGGTGCTATAAATTGTAGTGGATTTTTAATTTTTTTTAAAAGAACCCATAATGGCTGCCGGCTGGGGTACTTAATTTATTTCCCATGCCAGACCTTTAGAACAGTAATCAAACCATCATCTGTATACATAATTTATTAGAGACCTTCCTGGAATATTCTAACCTGGCTCTTTAAGAGATTTGTTTGCTGTTCGTACTTTCTCCAGCCCCATCACTGCAGACTGGGGTGAGTCAGAATTGGTAGCTGCAGTGCAGACATTCTGAGACCCCTTGTGTGTCATCCCATAGGAACTGCATCTCCCACACATTTCGCCCATTAAAGGATCTCCTAATGTAGTCATTAGAATAGTCACCATGGAAGGAGAATTCTGGGCCTGGTTCACCGGTGTGTTACTCCAATTTGAGCCTAGTGTCATTCCATTGAAGTTAAACTGGTATAATGCAGTGGTGCATCAGACCCGAATTTGACGACTGTTCTTATTAATGCAGGTGGAAAACCTTTAATGAGCAAAGTGGTGGGTGTGTGAGAGATGTAGTTCTTACGGGATGATTCACAATGGAAAAGTGTTAAAGTTATTAATTATTTACAAAATTAGTGTTAGGCCTAACCCACAACGCTCAGCTCAGAATCCAGATCAGAATTTCCCCAATGCCTGGAATGCTAGGATTCCGGTTTTTGGTTCAGGCCCTTCTCTATGTATAACTAACAAAACTGATCCAAACATACAAAAATATATATATATATACAGAACCAAACACAACAATCAGATTTACTGGGACAAACTGCTCTCAGTTGCACCAGAATAAATTGGGAGTTGATCCAGTGAAGCCAGTGGAGATCTTCCAGATTTACACTGGGATAAATGAGAGCAAAATATGACCCATTGTCTATCTGAAAACTTTGATATATAGAATGATACTATTTAAAGAATCCTAAAGAATCCCAGAATAGCAAACCTTCCAATAAAGACCTGCACAAATGGCTCCAAACAAACTTTTCAAAGATACTAGGACAATTTAACTCCCTCGTGGAAAACAGAAAGCAAATAAGCATGCTGACTTTCTTTGTATTCCAAAACAATAGAGATGCTTTCTAGGTTGTGAAGCTGCTCAAATTCTAGCACTGCAGAAGTGATGTCAGGCAAAGAATTGCTCAAAAATAAGAAATTTTATTAAAACCTTTTTCTCATTTAAAGAAAAACATTCAGATCTGTTTGAATCACTGCACCCTATTCTTCAGTCGTAACTGAATGAATTCTAACCAGAGTAAATGGGTGGAAAATTAGCTGCACAGTTTAAAAGAACAAACTATAATTGAAAAAGTGTCTGATCTTAAACCCCCTAATAATGACTATTGCTAGATGGAAAGAGGTAGAGTTAGATTTAATGTAGACAGCCTTCCAAACACAAATCCTACAGATAGAAATACGTATAGTTTACTATGAATTCTAACTAAATTCCATATTGGTACATTTTTTTAAAAACTACATTGAAACAAATGTTCTGTCCACTAATACTAGCACTGGAATCTCAATGCATGATAATGTTCTCTCCTAATGTAGGTTTAAGAGCGCAGGAAATTAACTCTTGGAATATGCTCAGCTGCAGAAAGGTTTCACAACATAATCAGAGCAATTCAACACATTCTAAATGGATTTAACTAAAGTG